ATTACCCCAATGATTTTTGTTTTTTAAAGATCCATGGAATATAACATTAGAAAAACAATATATGCAGGTCAGTTCTTTGTTAAAAAAACAACTATTTAAAAAAAAAAATCACCAAATAAATTACCCAATATTTGGAAAGCCAGCCCTAACAAATGCCACTAACCAAACATTAAGGGAATGTCACATATGGAAACAAGTGTCTTGTAACCTCATTGAGGGATCCACAAAGCAAGATGTCATCCCAGACTATGGGACATAAAATGATACTCGTGAAGAGTGTGCTCAAGTAGATACATGAGACTAAATGGACAGCTTCTGTCCAGAGGCGATATGAGAAGGCAGAGAGGGTCAGGAGCTGGTTGAGTGGACACGGGGAAGTCTGGGGTGGAAAGGAGGAGTGTGCTGTCATAGTACAGGGAGAGCAACTAGGGTCACATAGCCATGTGTGTGTAAATTTTTGTATAAGAAACTAACTTGAATTGTAAACTTTCACTTAAAGCACAATTAAAAAAGAAAAAAAGATGTCATCCCAGGAAATGCAAACTCTGCATGAGGCAGAAAAACAAAGTAAAGAGAATCACTGTGGAAAAGAAATTGAAAAGTGATTGCCAATGTCCTTATAATCTATAGTATAGGGCTACCACAGCAAGGCATGATACTCATTGAGAAAAAAAGGTGGTCTCATTCACAAAATCACAACTGAGGAAGGAAGCATGATAACCACTAACTGTAGCCATCCAAAGACCATGAATATATTCGAAAAAAGGGATATGGTTTACAATATTGAGATCAAATTAGTTCGAGGAAAATTTCAGCCGTCAGGGAAACACTTACTGAAGGAAAAGATTTATTATAGTTCCAACTCCTGCCAGCACCATCAGACGTTCAAAGTAAATTAAAACTCTGGGAACTGGAAATCCCTCCACCCCCATCTAAACAAAGGCTGAAATCATGGGTTTAGATTATAATATAGCCTAACAAGCTGCAAACTTTGAAGCTTTCAGTACAGTATGGCTCCCCAGTACTCCATAGGTGATAAATAACAACTGTACTACTATTCTATTACATCTACATACTGCTTTACAGTTAAGAAAGTGCCTTCACTTTTATTCCTCAACAGCAACCCATTTGGTGGTGGAATCACAATACCTTACTTCCACACAGCCTGTAGTTCATATTTTCACACACTGCATACTTTACACAAGAGACCCAATGAGACTGCGATTAAGTCACTTGTATACGGACAGCAAATGGTAGATGAGGGCCCTGGAAAACAGCAGGACTCTACTCAGTCAATAATAGGCACTTTCAACCCTTAAAAGTTCAAAGTACAACACTTCAGGGGCAGCAGCCTCAGACAGCTACACCACTGTCCAGGATAGGATCTCAGAGTCTGAGCGGACCATCTCTGCGTGTCTCCCCCATCAAAGACAAGGAAACTGAGGCAACAGGCAGGATTTGTCTAATCCAAATCATGCAGAGGGTGCTGGTGGGGTGGGTCCCCGCACTAAGCCCAGAAGCAGCTGAATCTTCCGTCTGGGACACTTGGTCGGTCTCCAGAGAGAGGGAAAGACCTTTACCATTCCTGCCACCCTCCCACCCGGGCTTTCCTATGGGGCGCAGGGGAGAAGGAGGCTCTACTTCCCAGAAGCTCCCGGAAATCCCCCTCCCCAAGGCCCTTACCCAATTTTTAGCTCGAGCTTCCGGAGTAGAAGAATCCCCTAGCTCCGGCTCCCGCCCCTTGCCCCTCTTTCTGAGGTGTCTCTAGACCCCAAGCCATTTCCACGTCTCCCTGCGGAGATCTATCTCCTATAAACCACAAACTCCACAAAAGGGAACCCTCCCAAAGCGTCCTCCCATCTACCTCTTCCGCCCCGGGCACCCCTCAGTCCCAGGAGTCTCCCCAGAAGCTACCTGCCTCTCACCTGGGCCCCTTTAGCCTCGGCCTCCTCAGAACAGCGACCCCCAAGAACCTCCTCCAGTCAAGACCCCCCAGAGGGGGAACACCCTTTTGAAGAAACCTCTTCAGGTGCCCTCAGCGCGGGCCTCGGCGGAGAACCTCCGGGCTGTTTCCCAGGCTCTGCCCAAAGCCACCTCCTCCCAGGCTCCTTCCCGGAGCCTCCCCTAGCCCCAGTCCGGTCTCCCCGCCCCAGGCTTCGCCGGCTGTTCCCGTCCCTCACGAACGTCCCCAGCCCTCGGACATCCCCCCCGCTCCGCGTCCCCAGGGTCTTCCCGGAGCAGCGCGGCCGGGCTGCGGCACTGACTTTCTCCAGCTCCTGGGCCCACCGGAGGGAGGGGGCGGCGGCGGCGCGGCTCCTTTGTGACAGGTCCGAGAGAGCGGTAAAGATGGACGCGAGGCCACGGCGCTGCCATTACGCGTTGGGCCCACCCCCACTTCGCACCACCCCGGCCCTCCCTCAGTCCCCTAGGAAACGCCCCTTCCTCGGTGGCTAACCCTCTCCACGAGAGCCAATAATCTTTCAGGGATTGAGTCACGTGATCACACGGCCCTGCTCGACCCCCAGGCGTGAGTTGGCCAATCCTCTTGCCGAAGTGTGAATGGCCCAATCAAGTCTCTCCGGCTCTTTTCGGGGGCACAGGATTTTCATCGGTCTCCGGGGGGCGGAAGAGAGCTGCGGATTGGGCTACGCTGCCGGAAGCGGGGCGGAACTTTGCTGCGGCGGTGAGGAACAGGAAGCCCGGAAGGGTCAAAAGAAATACAAAAGCAAAGGCTATTTTCTGTTTTCTTCTTTTTTTTTTTAAAGAGCGATTGGCTTTTGCAGTGGAGGTTTAGGGTGGGCGCCGCTGAGGTGAGAGTCTCGCCTCCCGCCTGCGGGTAGGTGAGTGTGGCCTGGGCCCCGTGCAGGCAACTAAATCTGAGCTCTAGTTTCTTCGCTGAGGAGATGGGGTGCTGCGGCTGAGGTTAGGATTAGCACCAGGCCGGTGCCCTTCAGTCCGCTCACTCGCCCCTTGTCCTGAGTCCCCGAGGCCGGGGGCCTGCTGGGTCCAGCCTGAGAAGGCGTCTGAGAAGGCTTGTGTAGGGAGGCTTCCCGACCCTTTAAGATGGGTCCGGGATTTTGGGCCACTTGCGGCTCCCCTCCACCTTTTCTGCTAGATGGGGCCATTCAGTCACCAGTAGGGAGCGGGCTTTGCTCCCGATGGCTTGGAACCGCTCCAGGGTACTCTGGAGATGTGGGGACGCCTGGTTAGAAATGGTTGAATCACAGAATGTACGTGCAGGGTGGGAAACACGTTTATTTTGTACCATGTGCCAGTTGCTGTGCAAAGTGCATTTTCTTCTAGTAGAAAACAAAGCAGCGTGCCCGTTTTGCCGATGAGGAAACTAAGGCCGAGAGTTGGAGCGTCTTGTTTGAGGCCCCCTGTCAGTTGGTGGCCAACGTGAATGTCAGTCCTCACTGGGAAAAGGGGAGACCTAGTCGTTCATAAAAGTGGTTCTTCAAATTTTAGTTGAAAACGGTCATCTGCAGCTCTTAAATGCAGATTCTTGGACCCCACTCTCAGATATTATGACTGAGTAGGTCTGGAGTGGAACCCCAGGAAGCCAGGTTCGGAACTGGTGGTCAGAATTCCCAATGACCCCTTGTGTACCAGCTATGTGGTAAGATTTGTTGACTCTTCAGCTTTTTGATTAATTAATGTGTTAACAGGGACGTTGTAAAATGGCTTGGAGAGCGCTGCTTCTGAAATCCGTGAAGTATGAGCATATAGACTCCTTTTGATAGAGGGAGATCAGCTGAGTTGAAGGCACCTTGTAAAGGCTTTCAAATAGAGCCTGAGATGAGCTGTTAATAATTTGTAAGGGTCAGAAAGCAGAGGCTGCCTGATTATCTTTCTCAACTGAAGTCTTGACGCCTTTACCCTGTGGGGAAATTCTTCATAGTTGTAAGAAAGGAAGAATTATGTCAAGATCATTTAAGTGGTTAGCAACTGTCACTTTCACCTTCCAAGAATCTTGGTGTTTGGTTAGGGTCAAATTGCTCCTTCAGAAATTGAGAACCAAGTATCTGGTAAATGAAGTAATTTAAGAGCATGGTTCAGCCATAGCCTCTGGTGAATTAAATAATTTCAGTGTGTTCTCATGATTGACTGCCTTTTGAACATACTTTGTCTTCATTCTTAAATAGGATCTGTTTAACTCCTTACTTACTGTAGAATGTGTTTTTAAGTTTTTTTTTTTTTTTTGTCTTTGATTTTCTGCATTTTCATTACGGTATATCTAGGCATGAATTTCTTTTTATTCAATTTGGTATTCTTGTTAATTGCAATGAAGTGATTCCAACTCATGACAGCCCCATGTGTCAGAGTAGAACTGTACTCCATAGGGTTTTCAAGGTTGTGAACTTTCACAAGTATATTGCCAGGCCTGTCTTCTGACGTGCCTTAGGTTGGGTTTGAACTGCCAACCTCTGGGCAAGTAGTTGAGCACTTAACCATTTGCACCATCCAGGGACTCCATTGAAAACAAACAAACAAAAGAGAAACAAACCTGTTGCCATCGAGTCGATTCCAAGTCATAGTGACCCTATAGGACAGAGTAGAACTGCCCCATAGGGTTTCTAAGGAGTGGCTTGTGGATTTGAACAGCTGACCTTTTGAATAGCAGCCACTCCCTTAACCACTGTGCCACCAGTGCTCCATGGACTCCATTAGGCTTCTTGAATTTGTGGGTTAGTATGTGATTAGTTCTGGAAAAATGCTGACAGAGTATTCTCTGTTAGTGACTGTCATCCTCTGAAGAAGTCTTGTATTCTAGGAAAAGTCAACTTGATCTAAATTACTGTATCTTGGTAGAAGTGCCTTCTGGCCAGAAAGCAGTCTTTATTTGGAATATAGTTGAGTTTGCCAGATAGCAGATTCCTCTAAGTTGCTGTCCTGCATTTTGAAATCTCATGTGACTTGAACATCAGGTTAAAAACATTGGAAGAGGAGTGCCTTTTACTGACAAAAGGAAAGTATATTGGGCTATTGTTTTTGGTACCCAAAGTGAAGCCGTATAACACCGTAACACAGAGATCTGATTCCCCCTGATATGTTTTTACATGTACAATCTGTCTAATTTTAGAATTAGGAGTATATGGTGGCTAGTGGTGTAAACACTTAGTAAGTAGTGTGCCATCACAAAATTCAATTCCGTAGGAAACCGTAACTCATTAACTTGTGTCATGGCAATAGCTAATGGAATAGTTTTTCAGGGATTGCAGTTATTTTGGGGGCAACAGTGTAAGATTCGTATTTTAAAACTTATGTAGCATGCTATGTAAGAAAGACAGTGAGCCAATTTTGTCCCACCAACCTGGAAATTAAATACCGCAGTCTCCAGAACAAACACAGTAGTGCAGTGTTTAACAGTTGCTTTGGTTTGAAATATAAGAACTTTGTTTTCTTGACTGTAGCAAATTTGAAAATTATGTTCTTTCTTTGTGCTGGGTTGAAACTCTTAAGTTTGTACAAAATTATTTTGGTGTGATTTTAGTTTTCCATGAATCCTTTGTTTGAAGAACTTAAATATTCCTTCTAAATAATGTAATGTTTAGTTTTGTAGTTAAACTTGAGTCACTTTGAAGAAAACAAAAATAAAAACTGTATGTAAAGGAATGTTGCCAGCATTTACTCTTTCTACAATTAAACACAGTAAGGACAAGATAAGCGTTCCCAATGTAAATCTTCTTTCCTACATGGATCTTGATAGATCCTTATACCTCTGGGCTTTTTGTGTGTGTGTGTGTGTTCTGTTTTATTTTTAATTATTCTAGCAAACAAAGGGAAAAAAGAAGCAACTTGTGAAAATTTAGCTAGGCAGTAGGAATTAGAAGTAAACACAATTTAATTTTTTGGCTTTGTCTGCTTCCAGAAGGATGTAACTAAATAAGTTGCAGGTGCTCATCACCTCCCAATTGCAAAATAAGCAGCCAACACAATGAATGTTGGACTGTTTAAAGAAAAATGCTTTGTGCAGGAAATACTTATTTTTCAGCAAAAGTGGGCATTTTTAATGAGCTGAAATTAAAGGAAAGTAGCAAGAGTTATTGATGAAAGATGACATCAATTATATAATATAGTAATGTGATTTAATTTTTGGTCCTTTGTTTCCCACTACACAAATTGTGATGTTTGAATGAAACTCTTCATGCGATACAGAAGCTTTAGCAAATACTTGTTTAATAGCTGGCTAAGTGAATAAAACAATAGCTAGCATTCTCTATAACTTGCATTGGACATTACCTAGGAATATTTCTATGAAGCCATTCCTCTCTGCTCAAATTCTTCAAATAAATACTTCCTCATGGTAAGTATTTATTATATACCTAATATATGCCAAGGAAACCCTGGTGACGTAGTGGTTAAGAGCTGCAGCTGCTAACCAAAAGGTCAGCAGTTGGAATATAACCAGGCACTCCTTGGAAACTCTATGGGGCAGTTCTGTTCTGTCCTATAGGGCTGCTATGAGTTAGAATTGACTGGATGACAACGGGTTTCGTTTGATTTTGGTAATAAATGCCAGACACTGTGCTAATAAGCAGTGTGGATACAAAGAGCTGTTGGAGCAGTCGTAAATAATAAGTCAATGATTAAGTGTTGTCCAGAGTTATGAAAGGCTGTAGTGGGAATGTAGATGAAGGGAATACATGTTAACTAGGAGGACTTGGGAACGAGAAGATCTTTAACCTGAGTCTGGACAGGTGGAATAGTGTTTGCATGGGGTAAAAGGAAAGCAAGGGCATTCCTGGCAGAGGGAACAGCCTGGGCAAAGCTGTGCATAAAGAGATGAGATAGTGAATTATGAGTAGTTCATTATGGCTTTCAAACAGTATGCATGGAGAGATTATGCAGAGTGAAGTTGGAAGGATAGGGGAAAAATGAGACAGGGTCATGGAGGGCCATGCTAATGAAAATGGACTTTAGAGCAGCGGTTCTCAACTGAAGGAGATTTTATTCCCCAGGGGACATTTGACAGTGTCTGGAGATATTTTTTATATTCATGACTTGGGATAGTGGGGTGGATGCTACTGGCCAGGGATGCTGCTAAATATCCTGCAATACACAGGACAGCCTACAACAAAGAATTACCGGGCTCAAAATTTCGATAGTACTGAGGTTGAGAAACCCTGTTCTCTGTAGTAGAGATAGGAGGGAGTCATTGAAACATTTTGAGGAGATACAGTATAAGTATTAGGTTTGCCTTTTAGAAAGAGCACTCTGCTGATATTGCGGAGGATGAATTGAAAGGGGTCTAGAGTAGAAACAGGGTGATTAATCAAGTGCTATTGTAGTAGTCCAGGTAAGATGAAGCTCTGAAAAGAAGGGGTTAGAAAGGAAGGGACCCTTCCCTAAAAAAAAAAAAAGCAGAGGATGGATTTAAAGAGGTAATTATGAGGTTGAAACAACAGAGCTTGGTGACTGATAGGATGTAAGGAAGTGAAGAAAAAGAAGTCTAGGTAAATGCCCAGGGTTTCAACCTGGGAAACTGGATTTATTCATATTTTGTGCCCTTTCATCACCGCCTCTTACCTTTGCTATTCACTTTGGTAATTAGTTATTAAATGAATAATTTCTTTTATAAAGATCAGAGCAAAGCTGGTTCTTATGAGGTGGAGGTTAAAGATGTCCCAAGTGTCCAACTTTTCCAAACTGCTGTACCACTTCATCATCTCTAACATCAACTACTCCTCCTCCCTTCAGCGCGCTCTCTCCTGACCTTGGGTTCCATAATTCGCTGCAACCTCTCACTGTACTCACGAACCATCAAGGAAATGGCTCATGCTGTTGTGGAGGCTGGCAAGTCCTAAATTTATGGGTCAGACATAGGCTTCTCCTGACT